GGGGTGGGACAAGGCGGCAATCTGCGTCTGGGAAACCATCTGATAGAAACATTTTGCTTTTGGTGTTTCATTGCAGTAGTTATCAGGCTATTGTTTCAATTGGGATTGAAGAATAAATTTCTAAATGCTATGGGACATGCTGCATTTATAAAAACCAAAAAAAGGGAAAAAAAAAAGAAAAAAAAAAAAAGGGAAAACTCGAGAGAAATTTATTAGAAACTAGAAATGTTTAATTGAATACCTGACTATAAATATTTTGAAGTTTACTAAAAAGAAAAAGAAAGTAACAAGGTGGATCAAAATTGTAGAATGTACCATGTAAAAAGTCTATTCAGGAAAGGGGTAGAAAAATGAAAGAATGTAAATCACTACTCTAGAAGTCTGACTCTTTAATCAGTTGACACTGGTGAGGGTAAAGCATGCGGCAGCACTCTTCAATTCGTTCTCTGCAACATGCTCCATAGATTGCGTCGTGTCTTTCAGTTCTTCAGAGCTGCAGGTACAATTACAATTAAATCATCACCCTCAATTCGACAAGTAAATGATATTTGAGTTTTAGGAGAACTGTTTGGTGAAGATGATGAAGGTACCTCGGGTCATAAGCCTCTTTGGAATCATCTGATTGTCTGTCATCAATGGTATCAAAAAATGGATGAATCTCATCATAATCATGGAGAACTTCTTGTTGGACAGCGAGTGGCTGTGCAGTAGCCATCTGTGATTGAATTGCCATTTGAATGCTATTGTTGCTGTTATTGTTTGTCGCATTATTGTATGGATGTTGAAGCCACATGGAATTTGTCACGTTATCCTTAGAATCAATGTATGAAGAACCATAACTAATGCTATTGATATGAGAATAAGAATGCTGTTGCTGATGCTGTTGCTGTTGCTGCTGTGTTATAGGCAAAGCACCAGCCACATGGTCGTCGTATGACTGTTGCAGGGAAGGATTGAAGAGGGAAAGGGCAGCATTGCAAGGCGGTGCCATCCCCAGTTCCAGCTGGGAAGGCACCTCATCCAGTGGTAGGGATGAAACCGGAGTGGAGAGGTGATGCTGCCTGTACATCTCAAGCTGTGCATGGACAGCGTGGTGCTCTTCCTCCAGAAGCTGAATCTGGTATTGTAACTGTTTGATTACCCATACACATCCATGGACAGGATATTTATCTCGAAAATATGCTTGGCATTTGATAGAATGCATTGCTTCATTCTTTTGTGAGGGATCCACGGTCTTTAGTATCTTTAGAATGTTGCTTACACCAAACAATTTGTGAGCATTTTGGAACATTTTGGGTTGGTCTGCAGGGAAGTAGGGTGCCAGAGGACAGTCAGGAATGCACTTTCTCCTCTGGTACTTGCAGGCAGCACAGGCTTGGCTGGCGCCACCCTTAAGGGTCATAGTTGCACCACCCAATTGTTGGGGTAGCAGAATGTTAGGAGTGGAGGTAGGGATGGTGTGTAAGAGAGGAAGAGAAATTTGGTGAGAAAATAAAGGAGAAGAAAGGGTAGAGGAAGGAGGGAGCAGATTGTGGGAACTGATATGAGCGGATTTGCTGGGTGTTAAGATAGACTGGGTAAAACTAAGCCAAACAAAATGAGAGACTGAGTAAAAGAAAATATTGAGAGAGTAGCGAATTTTGAGGGGAAGTTTCTTGTGAGAGTATTGACCGTTAGGGACAAATGTTGGAAATTCAGGAGAGTACTAATTTTGGTCATACCTGGTTTACACTCTGCAGTTTCCACTCGGCTAAATCTCTGATAGATTTATTTTAACCAAAATATCTCTCATATATTTACATACAAAGTAATCTGACTCTTCATCTCCAACTATCTTTGGGGTTTTTTTTTTTTTTTTTTTTTTTTTCTTTTTTCTATATATTAGGGGATGAGGAAAACTAGCCCTTTAAATTGGGGAATACAAGCGCGAATTCAAGTTGGGGGTAGTGGGGGCCAATGTCCCCACTAGATCCTCACGTCACCTCTGGTGATAGCAGGAAGGTTTCTTATTTATGCACTAGGAAAATGGAAATTGTCTCAAAACAAATTGCCTTTGTGTATAAATTCTCGGTTCCTTTTTTTTTTTTTTTTTCCTTTGTGTGTGCATTATTATGCAGTTGCAACTTGCGTTTGCAGCTACTGCTCTCATGAGTTACATAACGTAACAACTCACTATAATCTCAAATGCTCAAAACCAAAATGGCCAACATGTAGTTTAGTCTATATATCCATTTTCAAACGGAAAAGAGAGGAGGACAAACTTACCCTCAATATTACATCCAAAAACAAAATAAAAGAAAATGAGCTTGCACATCTACAATCTTTTGCCATTCTCACATAATTCTTAGCTGTTTACTTCTAAGCAAAAGCCTTCCTGGTTGTGTTGTTCTAGTTGCATGCTAAAGATTTAGGTTACATGCTCCTCTGCCCCAAAGAAAATCATTAAATACAAAATGACTGAGAGAGTCATCATGATTATGCAAGGAGAGATCAAGGTTGAACCCATTCAGCACCAGGATATGAAAACAATTTGCCGTAGTCTGAAAAGCCGTGGATATGGCATAATGTCATCTATACATATCCTTTTTAGAATGAACGGAAAATATTAAAAAAAAAAAAAAAAAAAAAGGAGAAAAGGAGAGGAAAAAGATAAGGAAAAAACACCATTTCGCTGAGTGTTTTTTAATCTAAAACAGAGTTCCCCCTCCTTTTACAACTGCATATTGCTCCAGGAAATAACTGCCAAAAATGCACTTTGCATAACATAGCATCATCCCCTGCCAGTGCATTAATTAAATGGCCATCCAACCAGGAAACTACTACTCTCTCGATCTCCTCAACTTATTAAGTTTCAACAACAAAAAGGTATTTAGAGGCAGGAGTGCTAAAAAATAAAATTCCTCTTCCATCATCCATTTTCTTCAGTTTGAAACGAAATCCCCTTTGATACATAATTTCTTTCCCTGAAAACCACCATCTACAAAATTTGCCAAGGTCTCCCAAAACTCTTCCTTCTATATCCCTGTTCTAAATGTTTTATCATGTACCATCTACTTACTCCGTAACCAGTGTAACAAGTTTCTATTGTGAACTGAATTGGCTGTTGTAAGCTGCCATGCAACACTATAGACAATGCCTCACCGCAGACAGTATCAAATGCAAAACCCATTTTGAACTCAATGATTCTCAGCATAGGAATTACTGTGACAGATTTCATCAAAATTTTCAATTTACAGCTTCAAAAAATAGAACCTGTGGTTGTAGATGCCCTCTCTCGCACATTTTGAGGACATCATTCCAGCTACCAATAACCTAGACATCAAAATCAAATTTTAACAATAGAATTAACGTGTGGGTAAATAACAGATGGCATGACTGACAATAGAACACAAACTTACCTTGACAGTTTTATCATCATACATTATCCAACATCCATGGTCGTGGCTATAGGCGAAGCAATGATAGTGTTGCCCATAGTAGCAAACCTGAGAGTTGCAGAAACAATAGAAAACAATAATAAAATCAAACCTTGTGAATACATTCAGATATGGTATACATTCAAACTGGCAGTAAAGAATCCGTATGTTTATTCTTAGCTTTCTTGCCAGAAGAAGATGAACAAGAAACTGTATGCTTCTCCTATTCCTTTTTCAATTTTCTATTTTAAGAAAAAATAAATGAGCTGATTGAGAGCTCTCTATTCCAAAGCAAAGGAACTTAGATTTTTTTTGCCTACATTCTGATGCATTATTATGTATTTCACAAAATATAGACATTTGAATAGATAAACTTGGGTTTTCTTCTAAAGGACTGGGATGTGGCGTGGGGAAGATGATAGATAGAGTGGTTATACATACCACTGAAACTAAGGTATGTTTGTTCTTTGGATCTAGACCGCGATAAAGGGTACAGATGTCTATTTCAGTATTCAGCGCAGCCAATGTTGCTGATATATCTTCAGCACTTTCGCATGTATTCTGCCAACCTAGAACTGCAATACCAAATATGACCATCATAAATAAGAAAGTATAAACAACCAATTAGCCAAGTATAGATTCATTACAAACTCTAAATCCTACCTGTTGTGAAAACATGTGGTGGAGTTGAGAGAAAGTGATGGATGTGGTTCAACTTCCCACAGCCACCCGCATCTGGATCACAAGCCAATTGATGGTTCATCTCTACAAGATTTAGGAGTTCATCAAACCGGCTGTCGGCAAACATAACCTGAAAATGGAAAAGGAAAAGATGGTTAAAAGTTAAGTTGCTAGTAGGAATTAGTTAAATGTTTAAAAATAATTTTCTTAATTTTCTTTTAATTCCATAAAGGATACCTTCATTGTACGGAGGGCACTGGCATTTATGTTATGAAAGAAAGAGGTGTACTTCATATGTCTGGACTCTAGATGACAATTGTAGCAATTCATTTGTTCAAATATGTCCATTCCAAAAAGGGAATGCACTATGCAAGCACTGTTTGCACAATCCCAAGACCCCTTGCACCTGCTGTCCACTGATTCAGCATCAGATACACTTGAATCAAGGGTAAATGAATGATGAAGGCAGTCAAAGATTACTGCCAATACTTCAGAAGCATCATTCATCTGGGCCTGAAAATTGCAAACAATCTTAGTCAAAACAATAAAATGGATCATATGAATGATGCACAAAACAAGGCCATGGTTATTTAGGCAAGTTGCAAGAAGACAGTTTAAATTACCTCTTGGAAAAAATTACTATCTGGATACAAGTTGCTTAGAGCAATCCTAAGTGGAGTAGGGGTGACTGCTCCTCCTCTTGCATCAGTAGAAGCAATGTTCAGGGCCTTGAAAATATCATAAAGCGCACATACAACACAAGGATCTCCGATGTGATTGTGAACATGATCAGAGGTTGATCTCCTCAAGAACTCATCACGGAACCGTCTCAAATGCCACAAGGACTGAGGTTAAGAAGAAGGAAGCAAGGAACTCAGCAGCTGATAATGAAATATAGTGCAAAACTAAACAGAAAAGAGCTAATAGGGATCATGAGTTACTTGTGGTAGAATGCTACCTGTATTATAACATTCAAAAAACAATTGTATTCACCTACTTCATTCTGCAGGCCCATACCAAACACATCAGTTCCATTCACAACATCATTTGTGATGCCATTTGGCAAAATACCATGGTTATTTGCTTCCAAAGGCATCCCCCAGTGTGTTCTTAAACCCGAAAAAAAGGGCATCTCCTGATGTGCTTGGTAGGTGTCTGAACAACAAAAAAATTACCAGGTTAGAGAGTTATTTAAGTACCAAAGCTTAACACAAAGCCCAAACCTAAAAAAATTATTGCCCAGTTTCTTAGCCAAGATGGAATCTAGATATAAAAACCAACTAAAAGTAAAAACTATATATGTTAATATGGAGGGACAACATCACGTTAAGTAGATGAAAACTAGTTGAGCTAATCTTCTCATGATAGCAATTAACTTCTACTCAAGCACACATGGATAATTATACACAGTAGCCTAATGTATATTATATACTTGCATCTGATTATTTGAGTTAAGGTACCACCACAGAAACTCTTGCCACACAACATTTTTCTTTTTCTCTCGTCTTTGATATTGGGGTGGGGATTCCAACCCATCTTGAGAATGGGGACATCATACAACCATACCAAATAAGCTATGTGCTCAGGTTCACTAGACAAAGCTATTCCTGTTCAAGAAATTTGTAGTATGCAAACCAAACAGATCAACAACTCATATGGTTCATAGTGGACTAGTTGTAATGAATGCCCAGCAACAGAAATTTTCCTGTGGTTAGCTCCCTTCAGACTACATAAAAACTAAAACAGTTACCCAAAAAAAAAAGGGATGATGAAACAAATATTTAGTTTCACCATTCTTAAATTCAAAAGCAAAAGAATCTTGATGAAATCAGTATTAGAAATCAGAAGTCCATTATAGTGAAAGAACATTATATGACTAAACGAAGCATGCTTAAATATCCACCCCACCAACTTCTTGAAAGTAGAATGCCCAAAATTCAATAACAAAGAAGATATGTAAACATAGTTCTTTTGCCCTCAATCTTTTTAGTTATTAGTTACTGGTTCCACATCACCAAATCATAATGATGTCACCTTTATAAGTAACATAATAACAAGAAGCACAAACGAGTAGATGCTAGAAAGTATTTTACCAAGGCTTTGGCGAACAGCTTTTTTAAGGTCAGCTTGGAACCTTTCTTCATCATCCTCCTCTGCTTGTAGTTGCCTCAATGTCTTTGTTCCACCCTCTTGTAAGAGAGGAGCACCTGTTTCAGTAGTTTCACACATTAGTTCCATATAGAGTGGACAACAATCTGAAATTCAGCATATAATAACTCAAAAAGATTGTGCAATTTCAACAATGTACCCCACTCATCATTATATATGCAATAAATAGACACTCAACGAGAAAGGAAACAGATAAGACCAAATTACAAAGACCTAGTGGTTACATTCAAACTTTGTATATTTCACATAAGTGAAAATCTGTATACACTCATATGATTCATTTCAATGTGTATCATATAAATTTAAGTCAGTGATAAAAATGCCCTACCACTGCATCATATAAAGCACCTCAACAAATATCAATCAGTTCCTTTTACATCAAACAATTGCATGTCTCTGTATAATATCCTGTGAGACAGGAATATAGAAAGAACTTCTAGCTCTATCAAGGAAGCTATCCAAAATAAAAATTAAAAAAAAAATTAATTTCAATTCAATTCTCTGATTTACTGGAGAGGGTAGCAAGCATTCACTGACAAGAAAAAATGTTTTATGTGATTAAAAGATTTTAACCAGTGTGACTAATCTGGCAGAAATGTCCCCTGCATCACAGGTTACAGTGACACCCACAGAAATAACAAATCGCATTTTTACAATATGCAGACCTGAAGTGACTTGAGAAACAATAATAATCTGTTTCCTAGGTTTGAATGTTAACTCTTTAAATCACAATAGAAACATTTAAATCTCACCGTGTGAAATTAGTATAACCACAAATAGATCAGGAAAGACAATCATACAACATTTACAGAGCAAAACGAAGTACAAAAGATCATTTTTGTCATAGAACAGAAACTGTAAGTTAGTGTTCAAAACTTACCACTTACTGTATGGACACCATTAAGGAGTCTAACTTGCTCCTCTACTTGGCCATTTGAGCTCCCAACTTCAATGTTTTCAGATTTAACAACTTGCTGCTTTCCCTCAAGAGATTTGGTAGAGGTCTTTTGACGTCTACCTTTCCGTCCCCTTTGATCAACAGGCAAAAGGCTATCCTCTGAAGTTTTACCATTGCATGGCCCTGCATACCACAAAAATATAATGATGTCTCCAGGTGCCACAGACAAGACGAGCATCAGTTAGAACCTGGTGTATATCATTGATATGATCCTCTACATACCAGATATATTAGATGACCTGACAGACAAAGCAGAACCATTCGTACTGCTAATTGATGCCCTATCCAAATGGTATGAAAAACTATTCTTCAATGCAACCTCTTCCTGAAAGCAGCAAGTTCACACAGTTTGCTGAGAATTTCCCCAGGATTTCAACTAAAAACAACAGTAGATAGCAAACCCAGCAGATGTAAACAGCTCATCATATAAAATAGCAAAGCCTCAATCATGTCATGTTTACCTGAATATTTAGATGATCAGCACCAGATTCCAAGTGACAATCATGCAATTTGTCTGCCTCATTATCTAGAAATGTTTGACTAGACTTTTTGTGCTGCTCTGCAAGGTGCTTCTGTTTAGCCTCATTCTCAATTCGTCTCTGGTACTCCAATGTCTCTTCAAGCTTTCTTTCCTCTTCTTCAAGTTCAATTTTACGTCTAAATTCCTCTTCCTGTAGTTTTAAGTCATCACCATTCACAGAGACAACCTCAGAATCATGAAGGTCACCATCAGATGCAACCGAGAAAGAACTGCGATAGGATAAACATCAAAATGCACCTTAAATTGAAAGCAGAATTTTTATTAAGAGTTAGAATGAAAATCATTTTTTTTAAGAGAGAGAGAGAGAGAGTGAGAGTGAAACAAGAGAAGACTTTACGCTATCTCAGCAGCCTCATCACTAGGCACCTGCACCTCACTACCTGCAGCAGCCTGAAAGGGGCAAAAGGTTAAAGATTACACTCATCTTAGAGCATGTAAATTATTAAATAAGAGTGGAAACAAGAAAAACCATAATTGAAACCTTTGAATCCTTGGATTTCCTGTACTCCTTATTCTTTTTCTTCTCCTTGCTTTTCTCCTGTGCATGTTTTGAATTATCATTTCCTCCTCGAACACCCTTCTTGGAATCAAGGGCAAGTTCTGCTAAAAATGCTTCTCTTGCAGCATCAGATTTCTCAGTGGCATCTTTCTCGGCCAGATCCTCCAAGTGTGCCTAGAAATTAAAAAGATAAGGAACGTCAATACCCAAACATTGGCAGAAGAAATAGGAACATCATGCAGATTGTTCAATACCAACCCTCAAGTATGACTTGACCAAAGGCAACAATATTGTTCCATAATCATGGGCAGAGATAGGCTCAAGTTTCAGTTTCAACTGCTGCATCCCAGTAAGCATTTGCATAATCTGTGCATCAAGTTTGCTAACCTGCTTGATACAAAGAAAGAGGTTAATAGGAGAGACCCTGTACCAATAATCTATAGTGAGTGGAACATCAAACAAAAGAGTAACCTCTAATGACCACTTCTCTTTTTGTCTCTGGATGGCACCTTCTACACATGCGTCCACTTGATGAAGATAATCCTTGGTTCTCCAATCATCATCTTCACCAGATTCCAAGTCACAAAACTGAGAATTCACACCAGTGTAAGTATCTTGAAATCCAAATTGATTGACATTCGGAGATTCTGCATCTTTTAAAACACTGGACAGAGCTTCTAACTCAAGCCTATCATCAGAAGCATCATTCTCACTCTCAAGGAGCTCTTCTCTGAGCTCTTCTCTTCGCTCTTTAAGCACAGATTCATAGCTACGATGAACAAATTCAGTGACAGTCCCCCTCTTCTTAGCTTCTTTAGGACACAGAATCTCCAGCTTCTCCAAGGCTTCCTTGTAGCTTATGTCGCAACAATTACTTTTACAAATGGTCTGCAGATGACTAAACTCATTTTTAAGCATCTGGAGAATTTCCATTCCATGCTGTGTTTTTTCTTCTTTTCTGCAGAGCCAGGAAGCCAACTCATCCCCACTTGATGGGCCTGCAAAGATCCAGGACAGCAAAGTATCTGATTCTGCTAGAGGCCCATTTCCATTGCCTGCATTGGCAGCTGGTAACACAGCATCATCTGTTGCAGGGTCAGAAGGCAGCAAACTGTCATCCAGAAAGAGACATGAGGCATCCCCATTAAGAACAATCCTCTCTTTAACCTGGAGACTCTCAGTGCCACTATTAACATCATCTGCAGGAGTACTCTTCCCAGAATATGGGCCCAAACCACAATATTTACATATATCCTGCAAGAATTTAAGGATTTTTTTAAGCTGGGAAGCTCCCAAGAAGCATATGCACACAGGTGTTTGGTCAACACCATCAAAAAGCTGAAAACCTGACTCCAGACGCTGCAACTCATCCATTGTGAGTTTTTTCACTTCCTCAAGATGGCTTTCAGCAAGGTATTTATGTCTAATAAGCAGCTCAAATGTGGCATGAATTCTTTCTAGCAACTTTTCACGCTCAGCATCATCAGCTGTTGGCCAACTATCAATGAGGCAATATATCGAAGACCCCTGGTTTTCATCACATTCCTTGCACAAAATGCCAGAAACTTTGTCACAATCTTTGCCATCTGCAGTAGAACAATTATAAAAATCCCCCATATTTTCCTTCTCTGGTGAAGAATCCCATGCATCTTTGAAACAGTCATCACACTCCTCAGTTTGGTTCCCTGGGTAAAAATCCTCCACATACTCAGAATCCCGGTGTTTAGACTGGTTTCCTAACATTTTAACAGCAGCAGAAGTATCTAAAGGCTTCCAAGAACAGTTCAGAAGCATCTCATTCCACTCATTATCAACACTTCGAGGCAAAATGTCCCGCCTTTTTGGCAAGGGGCTCTTTGTGTGCTCCTGCAAAACATGTTGCATATGGGACTCCGAATCTACAAACTTCTCACCACACTGGCAGCATATCTCCACGTGCTCCCCCAAAACATGTTGCATATGGGACTCTGAATCTACAAACTTCTCACAGCACTCGCAGCATACCCAAAATTTCCAAGTCTTATTTGCCTCACAGAATGCCAAAGCCTCCAACAAAACCTCATTCACCAAACCATCCTTCAGTGAAGCAAAATGTGCCTTGAGATCAGAAACCTTAATCCTAAGCAAATCCCTCTTTGAATCTAAACTCATTGAACTCCAAAACGACCTAACCCAATCACTCCTCTCGGAAGTAGTATCATTTTTCCTCCTCCTCCTTTCACCTCTTCTCTGCCCACTACCCGAAGCTGAATCCCTATCACCACTACCATTTCTTTCTCCTTCACTCTGCAACTTAGATGAAGATTCAGATTTCTGTTGCACGAGCCTGACAGCAGCAACCTTAACCTCAATCTCTTTCCGCTTCTCCTCCAGAGTCTTTGTTGCTTTCTTAATCTCATTCGGCCTCCTTGTCTGCACCGGTCTATCCTCCATTGGATCCCGTGCCACTCCTCCTCCAATGTGAATGAGTTTAAGATTCCTCATCAACGTATGAAAGGGCGCGACCTTTTGTAAATCCTGTGAATTCTTCATCAGAATTCTTAATCCGCCTTGGACGTGTGCAATCCTAGCTTCCGCAGTAGATATCTTTTGCTGGCCTTCATCCTGCAAGCGTTCCATGGCAGGATCCACTGGATTCTCAATCGCCAATGCACGCTCACATTCCCGTACAACTTCTTCGTACTCATTCGCCTGATATAGGAAACTGGCATAAAAATTAGCAAACTCTATGGAATTCGGAGATAACTCTACCGCTTTCCTACCAGACTCGATCGCATTCTTCAAAAGGCGCCTCTTAGCTTTAGGGTCAACGATTATGGACGCGTGCTTCTCGCAGACCATCCCCAGCACGTGGTGGATTAGCGCTGCGTGAGCAGAGTTCTCGTGACGCGAGCACAATTCTTTCATGAGCCGGAGCGCCTTCGTATGGTTCCCCCGCCGCGAAGCCGTTAACGCCTTCTCGCACTCAATCTTGATACCCGCATAAGACGAACCATCCGGTACACCAGCCGCCGACTCGATCTTCGTCGCCAGGACCATCCCTTTGTCATTCACACACGAATCCGCACCAGCTGAATCACCAGCCGCCGCTCCCGCCAGTACCTTAGAGCGTGGAGCATGATTTTTCTTCTTGTGCCCCATCGATTCCGCAGTTCAATCTATCTCAATCGGATTCAGATGCAAAACTCCGTCTATCTAAACAGCGAAATACCGCGATAGCGAGGGGGAGAAGTAAAGGACTTACTGGAGACAGTGCGCGGTCGTGAGAAAGAGGGCGGAAGTTACAGGCGACGACGGCAACGGAGGTTGATCGGCGGCGGAATCGAGAGTGGAGAGTGGGAAACGATGGTGTGTGTGACAGACAGGCACCTACCCATGGGAGAGAGGGTGAGGTTTGATTGAGGAGAGAAAAAGAGGGATTTGCATTTACATATATGGAATTAGGGACAATGATTAAGCTTAAGCTAAGATCCTCACTACTTTAAGAAAAAAAAAAAGAAGGCTAGTATTAAAAAAAATCAACACTATTTCCTAGTACGTCTCATTTAAATTTAATCTATCGTATTAGTTGAGGTTATATTTTTTTTGTGTAACTTTATTCTCACTTAATTTTAAATGCTTAAAATATTATTTGTATTATTAATTAC